TCTTCTCTATTCATTTTAGTCCACAACTGTTTCATCTAAGATGAATAAACCATTTTAGAGCTCTGACTAGAATAAGTAAAATATCTAATAAGTAGGTTGAATGTCCTTGACTCTCACAGAGTTGGTGAAGTAGTACTTTACCAGCAAACTAAATGGCTCAATTGCAGAACTTGGATGTTTCACAAAAGTGTTTAAGCTAGAGAACTTATTATACAAAGTATCTGCAATGTATAACTCATATATACAACAGCATTCCAAATGCTGGGGGAAACCTTCATTATTAATTCAAGAAGACTTCATGAAGTTAAATTTTATTTTGTTGTGTTTATTCAGTTCTTTCAGGTTGAGAAATGTCTCTGTCCCCTTGATATGTATGATCATTTATGGGATTGTCATAAATGGTTAAGTCATCTTACAGTGTGTCCCTTTATACTCTTTTTTCTAATCAACACGCCAGCTTTCCTGCTTATATTTTATTATAGTTCATCTTCAATCTATTCTCTTGTATTTGTATAATATTTTCATTGCTACTAGCAATGTTCTTTTTTTACTTCAATTTTTTATTATTTAAATACTACAGAAGACAGGGTTTATACCTAAGAGCTGTTTCAATTTTTACTTGCTTATTCAGATAAAGATTCACTACTGTCATTGAAGTAAGCTAGCATATAAACACAGTATCCCCACTACTTTATTAGCTCTAGCATGACATAGGACTGAAAAAAAGAAACACTATGAAAGAAGCAGGACAGGGAAATCTGGCGGGCCTGTTACCCCTGTAAATGCCACTTCAAAGCTACATCAATATAAGGTCGCTATCTTTTCTTGGATTCCAGAAGTGAGTATGTGGACCTCAGTAGAGCTAGAATTTGTTTCTGATTCAAAGAGAAAAAATATATATATTCATAAGGTTCCTTTCGGATTGCACAGCAGAAACATCTTCTTAGTTTCAGGAGTGGGTAATTATCAAGGGTGTTAGTAAACGATCAAATGTACTTAGCACTAGGTATTTCACCTCAATTGACAGAAAGAATTTATTATGGACTGTTTCAATAAATAAAGGAATAATTTGGCCAGTAGGTTTGTAGATAAATAAGCCTATCACTGAGAAGACTGCAATACACTATTTGTTTAATAAGCAGAATACTTTTCCACAGTGTATAGAGATATTTTAGAAGTGTGCCAGCAGGAGTAGATAGTGTTAGATAGATAGGACTATCTAGTGCTAGATAATATCATGTTATTATTTTCCTGCCTAAAATATTTAATATTCATCATATACTTTTCCAACTATTGAAGATATGTGAGGTAATTGCTTGTATTGTGAACATATCAAGATACTAAGTACAAATTATTAGTTTCAGGAAGGAGAATGTTCACGCTAAAGAAAAATTTCTTCCAAATTTTCAATTTATGGATAAGGTAAACTGTGGAAGACATTTCTAAACCATGTATTGTAGATAGGTTACATTCATGAGGAAATCTATTTGTGCATCCCTTTAAAATTCAAAAATAAGCATTTTGTTGAGAAAGAACAATATTTGCAAAATTTATTTTGAAGGATACCATTTTATTCATAGAAGTTACCAAGAAACCAGACTTCTTTTTGCAGCGAGTCCTCAGTCAGCAATCAGTGGCTTCTTCCCTGGAAAACTTCAAATATGCCCAATTTTAGGAGAATAGATTTCTTTAATCTGATGAGTAATATTGGCTGTGTCCCACAGCAATACCCCTGTGTGTACGTGTTTAACTTCAGGTTTCAGAAAGACTTTAGCAGTAGGTTTAAAGCATCATGGTTCCTGGAAGAATCCATGGCAATAACTGTTCTAGTAAATTATAAAGTCTCTGCTATATACAGGCTGAAAGGAAATTTTTACATTACATTGATTTTGGTGACTGTGCCAACACAAGCAGATGTTTTGCCATTTTTAGTTTTTATTTGTCAGATATGGAAACCATTGAAAAAGGAAAATTTTCTTTTTTTCCCCCTGGGGTAGGAATGTAGCTGAAAGATTTCAAAGCAAAGGTGTCCTACAATCTGGTTAAAAACTAAAAAGTTTTCCGTGATAGAGGATCAGTTAGATGTCTTCTTAGAATTACCTTTTAGTTCCTCTTTACTATATTGAACAATAGGGACAACACTATGAAAAAAAGTTAACAAAAAGTTTACTTTTAGCATAGCCAAACTGAAATCTATAGTGTTAAATCCGAGGTAAATCTGGACCAATGCCTTTAACTGTTATTTGCGTAATTTTTTACTGCCTGGCCTGGCATACAAGCGGTCCCAGTAGAAGACATGTTGGACAGCAGCTGCATTCTCTCAGTCACTTTCAAAGGGAGATGAGTGGACTCGGTCCAAAATGCTGTTCTGCAGCTGCAACAAGATGGGTATTGCTATTTCGCAGTGTAACATTTTGAGTGTTAACTTTCATCTCTTACTTTTAGTGGATTACCCCTCCCATAGTAACACTGAGCTTGACTCTACAGCTATTCCTAAGTATACCAATATCTGTACAGTATTTTGTTATTTGCTGTGAATGACAGTTTATAGTAATTCTAATCACTGAAAAAGAAAAATATATGAAGAATATGCTGTATTGAAATGTCTAGCATGCAATTTTAGTTTAAAATGTGATTTTGTTATAAAGGATAATATTTTATTTCAAATCAAGCTGTCTGCAAACTATTTCATTTAGTGACATGAACTGTGATTTATTACTGGTGATGAATATGCAACATTTCATAACATTGAGTTATGGGAATTTTGAAACATCTTACAAAAATTCCTAAAACTTATCCAAGTGTATTAATCACATTTCTGATAAAATTCTGAGGCATGACTGTGCTCCACAATGCCCAAGAGCAGCAGCTCATCCTGTCTGTGTTTATCCCTACTGATACCAAAGATTTGTCTCTGTTAATATCCACAGTTTCATTATGCTAGAGTTAAAAAAAAACAAATGTCATTAATCCTCTCTTAACCTCTAGAGTTAATCTGTATGGAAAGTTTACCATGAAGTAAGCAACTGCACTGTAAGGTATGAATTTATAACACAGTAGGTTTTGTGCACTGTTTCCCCTTGTGAAATCTGTACTCCAAAATTAGAACGCTTTTGCGAGGTGTAACTAGCAGAGAGTCACTGTGATAATTAGTATGTTGTAAATTCACATCTTGGCTTACTCTGCACAAACTCCCCTGTGTAGGAAGGTCCACCATGTAACTCTAGAGTGTTCTTTCATTTCTTGAAAGCAAGTCAGAAGTAAATAAAATATGATCAGTATAGCTGCTGCTTTGGCAGAAGCTTTGCAAGCAGCTACTGACCCATCAGCTCTTTGAGCTGCTGTTTCTGCAGTGAGTGAG